AAAAAAAAAAAAAAAAAAAACTGTTAAGTAGAGATCAGATACAAAGTAGGCTCCAAATCACAGACCCCCCCCACAACAAAATGTCACATAAGACCTATCATGTAAAATTCTCTGAGGCGGCCTGACACTTTTAGCTTTGAAGCCAAGCCAATCAGAGCTTGAATTCTATCCCACTTATTAGATCTGAGAGTTTAGCAACTTATGTAAACTCTTGGTATCTCGTGTAAACATTATAGATGCTTCATCTATAAGAGGGTATTTCACAGCCATTTATGGCATGGTACTATTGGAAAGATTTAAATGATAACGCATAAAATGGACCTGGCATAGGACCCTGAGACACAGTGAGTCTATAATAATTAAGTTTATTAGCAATTAATAAGTTATCTTCCTTATTTTAATATTGTATTCTACCATTTAGCATTTTCAGGGTTCTCACATTACCAAAAATTGAACACAAAACATCATTAGCAGCATATTCTAGTGAAAACTGGTCTTAATATTTCTGATTCAGACAGTAAATTTCAATTCAATTTAACAACTACATACTGAATACTCACCTATTCCAGGTACCTATTCTAGGTACCGGGGTTACAAAGATAAATAAAACACAATTCCTGCCTTAACTGCTTCCTTATCTAGTAAAGAAGCCAGATAAGTAAATAAACATGACTGTGTTAAGTACAAGGTAGAGGGCTGGCACAAAAGAAGTGATCAGTTCCACTTACAGTCAGCTAAACCTCCACAGAAAGGATGAGTTCATTAGGTAGAGATTGTGGGGAGTGAAACAGCATGGCAAACTTGGAAACTCTTAAGTAGTTCAACATGGATGAAACCTAAAGTTTAAGTTTGGAGAAGATATGATGGAACAAGGACAAAGAGGTCAACTAACAATTTGCCCTCTGTCTTACCAGCAGGTAATGGAGAATTAAACTGAAGGGATTTTTCAGCTAGGCAAAAACATGATTAGATCTGCATTTTAAAGACTGCTCACAGAATAGAGGATGGATTAGAGCAGGGAGTCTACTGCAATAGTACAGATGAGATATAGTGAAGCCTTCATTTAAAGTAGCAGCAGCAAGAATAAGGAACAAGGGATTCATATGAAAAACGTTAAAGAGGTGGAATGCGTAAGGCTCACTGGCCGAATGATGGGAGGTAGGAATAGGGAGTTTGTAGAAGGAGTCTAGGATGACTCCCATATCTCCGGTTTGGAGGAAGGAGTAGGTGGGGGTGTCATTAACTAGAGCAAATTATAACAGGTACCCAGCCTCCAAGATGATCCCTGCCTCCTGGTATCCATGCTCTTGTGTGAACTGAGGTCTGCAGCAATCACATGAGTGAGTTTGGAAGCAGAATCTCCAGCCCAGCCAAGCCTTGAGATGACAGCAACCACGGCTGATAGCTAGACTGCAACATGGTGAGACCCAAAGCCAGAACCATCCACCTAAGCCACTCCCCAATTCCTGTCTCTCAAAAATTTTGTGAAATAATAAAGGCATGTTGTTTTACACTCCTAAGTATTGGGATAATTTGTTATATAGCAACAAACTACAAATACTTCAGATTAACTTGTTATATAGCAACAGATTACTAATACAGACTTCAGTCCCTGGATGTGGGGCGCTGCCATAACAAAAATGAAAAACATGGGAATGGTTTTGGAACCAAGCAGTGGGCTTTGAGGAGTGTAAATGAAAACCTAAAGGGCCTTAAAAACGTTGTTAAAAGAAGCCTCATAAGGCCGGGCGCGGTGGCTCAAGCCTGTAATCCCAGCACTTTGGGAGGCCGAGGCGGGTGGATCACAAGGTCAAGAGATCGAGACCATCCTGGTCAACAAGGTGAAACCCCGTCTCTACTAAAAATACAAAAAATTAGCTGGGCATGGTGGCATGTGCCTGTAATCCCAGCTACTCAGGAGGCTGAGGCAGGAGAATTGCCTGAACCCAGGAGGCGGAGGTTGCGGTGAGCCGAGATCGCGCCATTGCACTCCAGCCTGGGTAAC